GGTGGCCCCACCCCGAGGGACCCGCAGGAGCCGGGGGCCTGGGGTCCCAAGTGGCCTGGAGGTGGGCCAGGGCCAGGTAGCCGAAGGTTCCGGGGGAACCACACCCGAGAGGGGAACGAGGCTTCAGGGGGGGCTAGGTAGCTCAGATGAAGGCGGAGAGGCCGCCTGATCAGGAGAGATCATAGTGGGGTCATATGGGATGATTCTGGGGCCCAGCATGGGGCCGGTGATAGTGTTAACACCAAGATGCCATCTGCGAGGCTTGGGCTGCGGTATTAGGGGAGGTCGGAGCCGCAGAGCGCCCCCTGGCATCGGGGCACTCCAATGGGCAGCCTCCCGCTTAATTGACATCGCTGTATGAATCAATTATCATCAAAGGCGTGGCGGGCGAGATAAGCGGGCGGTTGCCCAGAGACAGGTGGGCGGGCCCCAGAGTTTGGCCCCAGGAGGCCCCCTGTCACAAACTGCTTTAAATACAACATGCTGTACAATAACAAACATGTTAAGAAGTCAGGTCCTGTATATCAGACTGATATTCAGTGCATATTTTTTCAGTGCAGACTTAAATTCAGTGCATATTTTTGTCTTTATACTTTACAGATGGGAAACTGAGACACAGAAAGTGTGATTTAATATCATACCCATCTCACTAAGGAGTTGTAAATATACATCAAGGTTTGTGAAGCATTCTGGTATCTCAGCAAGGAGTTTCAGAGTTAGTAATTCTGTCCAGAGAGCAGAGTTGGAATGGTATACAATGTAAGGTACGGGTGTATGCTGAACAAGGAGAATTCAAAATACTGAATTATTCTTCATTAAGTGAATGTTGCTCATCTGTATGCTAAATGAGGTTGGAAAGGGTATGGGGCGGCAGACAGACGGTAGCATGTAATTAAGGATCAGGGGAGACAAAGTTATGTAAACCATGAATTCTGGAATTTATCAACTTTTGGAGTGCTTGACATTGAAATCTTAATGTTTTTAAGTATAATGTATATTTAATGACCAGGATGCTGCTTATCAAGAACAGTGATTTTTAATTAATGTTTGTGTATGATTTCCTAGCCTTTTAAAGAATGAAACTGAAAAGAGACTCCATTACATGGTATCTTATTAACATTCACATTAATCAGTAATGGAGCTAAACTCTTTAGATCTTCCACTCAAACTGTTCCTAAGGGAGTAAATAATAGAATACTATCTGCTGTTATCTTCTGTAGACACACTAGAGAGTTTGAAAAAATGCTTTATGTGCATTTCACAATTTTTCCAAGAATGGGGTGGTTATTTCTCAGGAATCATGGGTTTGTGTAGGAGCGTGCTCTACTCAGAAAAAGTCTTCTACTCATTCCCTCTAAGCTTGATCTCTTCCAGCCCATCTCCTCTACCGGGGAGTAGTTCTAATTGAGAATAGCTGAAAGAGAAAGATACCTTGCTTGTTGTTCCAGTGTCTGGCCCTGTCATGGCCTGAGAGCCATTTCAGGCAAAGGAGCTTTGACCCCTGAACATACATGCTTGTTCTTGGAGCTAGCACTGCCCCAGTCTTCTTAGAGAGCCAAGAGAGGCTTGAGCTTAGTGAGGACAGTCTTTAGCAGCTTACAGCATCTTTGTAAGCCCTGTATAGCATCCCTGAATGAGCTCTCTCACAGCTGCTTTCTAGGGACGTGCAGTCTGATCAGATACACATAGCAAACAGGGGAATGTATGATGATATCAGCCAAAATCCTTAAAAGAAATGGTCACTGAAAATGTGTCAAATTTGAGTAATTTTCATTGGGGACAAAGAAAGATCCTGTTACAAAGGCCAACCCTTGCTCCAGAGCATGGGGTTCTAGAGCTTCTCAAAGAAAAAGTTCCCACAATTTTTAATGCAGTTTGATGTTTTCCCCTACACAATAGGGCTGCCCACCCAGTGTAATTAGCAGCCACCTGCAAATGGCCAAGTGGGTGGAAAGCTGGAGTCCCGCATACAAGGGCAGGAGCTTCCCAGCTGTGGATTCCCCCCTGCCTGACTGAACATGTAGTGCCTGGCACACATCCCCATGGCTTCCCCATGTTATCTGCTGCCAGACCAGCGCAGTAGGAAGAAGAGGAGGAACCACTGGAGGCAGGGGGAGCTGAGCAGTACCTGTGTAGCTGTAGCAGCACTGGGAGCAGCCCAGCCAAGAAACTCTGCGCACTGGCCAGGGCTGAGGTGGGTGGGAGTGTAGCACAGGCTGCCTCAGGCAGGACCGGACAGGGCTCAGCCCCATGCAGAGTGCCACAGGGGCAGCTGTGAGCCAGATCCAGCCCACAGGCCATATTTTGTCCACCCCTATTCTGAAAGGTACAAATCTACCCTGCCTTCTACTTGACTTCAGACTAACAAGGCTAGCTATGTCTGACTGTAGTTTCCCCACTGTGAAATATATGGCACTTGTTTTTGGAAATTAAATGGCATTTTCCTTAGCCTTCATTCAGAGGGATATGTCTGGCACAATGGGATTCAATGAATTTAAAGAGCTCTGGGCTGTGCTGAACGGATGGAGACAACACTTCATGGGTTTTGACAATGACAGAAGTGGTTCAGTAGATCGTCAAGAGCTGGAGAAAGCCTTGACAAATATGGGTAAGTTGTGAAATTTCCCCATTGCTGTCAGGTGAAGTTTTCCCTCTTAATATTAAGACATTAGCTTGTTGGGAAATCCCACCAACAAAGTGTTTTGCATTAATTGGCCTGGAACATATCTCCCATTGAGAATTGCCATGGACCTCTCTAACCTGACTGTCATTTCACTGTGAATTTTCTCTCCCCCTCAAATAGGATTTAGGCTGAGCCCACAGGCAGTCGCTGCAATTGCAAAACGATACAGCACCCATGGAAAGATTACTTTTGATGATTACATTGCCTGCTGTGTAAAACTAAGAGCTCTCACTGGTATGTTTGAGTATGGCCTTGTTATTGGCATTTGGTAATATATTTTTACATCATGAAATCTGATTAAATTGCAGTGTCTAACCTTTTAATTCCTAGACCTGGATTTTTCTTTAGCACTAGCTATTTTCAGACAAAACTGGTACCAGAAAATGGGTGAATTTTTAAAATTCTCTCGTTTATCTACTTCTCAAGGTCTTAAATGTTTCAGAAGAACCAGTTTTTATACTGTGGCATACAAATATAGTGTTGACATCACACTAGAGATTCTGTTTGTTAGCAAAATCGTTAGGTCTCCAGCAGATATTAAAATAGTGATGAGACTGGGGTCAGAGGAATTTTATGCCCTGCCCAACATTATGCCTCCTGCCATGCTAGAAAGAGATCAGAAAGAGATCTACTGACAGCAGCAAACTGCTGACTGCCTGCAATGTCAGCAAGAGACCTACTGACTCCACAAAATCAGCTCCTAGATTTTCACTAAAAGGAGATGCGAACCTTGGAGAGGAAGGGGAAGGAAGTATAGGAAAAACCTTGCACAAAGCAAGTGATAATTTTCGACGTTAAGTAAACTCTAGGAGATCCTCCCATTGCAAGTGGTATATTATTATAAAAATAAATGACTAATTTTAAGGTCCCAGATTATTTGGATGAAATGGCACTTCTTGTGCCCACAAGTCATTAATGTAGTTTTTTCCTGTGTATTTTTGCAGAGAGTTTTCGAAGAAGGGATGCAGCTCAGCAAGGTTTTGTGAATTTCCAGTATGATGATGTAAGTGGATCATCTGTTTACTTAAACCGGATAAAATTCTAAAAGCAATAAACTAGATAAAATTATAAAAGGAAAAGTAGGTGTGGAACCTAGCGACGTGATCTTTCCATATACTGTAGCAGTTTTGGCTGAGCGCCAAGGATTACCCTGTGCTGTTCCATCCTTTCTCCCAGGCCCCAATTTTATGGAGAATCATAAGGTACATGCTACTTAGACTGGCCAACATTTACAGAAAGCCTCCTAGCTCACCCTCTCAAGTAATAGTCTAATCTGGCCCCTGAACTCAAGAGCGTTGAGGCCCAAATAAATCAAGCATCCCCCTCCTCCAGCTGATCCTCCCTTGCAGTAGGTTTAGAACTAACCCATAAGTACAGGAAATTTGTCAAAAGCTATCCCACAATTTCCTGTACCTGACTTTAAACCCTTTATCTTTTGTCTCTGCTGCCCATAAATAGGCACAGAAGGAAAAAAAGTCTAGTCACTTTGGCAGAAGACCTTTTGTAGAAAATGTTGCTGAGGGCAGTAGGTGTATTCGAAGAGTATTTCAGTAATGAAAAGGAATAGTCATGTTCCATGATGCTTTAACATGGATGCCTATTTCTTTCAGTTCATACAGTGCGTTATGAGCATCTAAATCAAGAGGAAGAAAGATGAAGAGAAGCTTGATTCGCATTCCAGTGTGTGTTTTGCTTTGCACCAAAAACTACCATGGCTTGTAACTAAATATTGGTATTTGCATATTTTATATAAGATTCTGCTTTATATACTTGATTTGTTTGTTTTGATAATGAGCACAAGTTAACAATGTATTGTCCGCTCTCACCCTGAGCTCGTGACTTGATTAAAGATTTTTTTTTAATTTTGCATATACTTGTTAAGTCACTTTTATGTATAATCAAATCATGTAGAGTTTTAAGTTTTCTGTGACAGTGTTTAATTCCCCTCTCGTGATCTACTAAAAACTGTTCTTGGAGTTTTACTTGTCTTAAGTTGGTTTTAAACGAAAACAAATAGATGGCCCATGGTAGTATTTTGTTGCTGTTGATAATATTACAGAGAACAGATGTATAAACTGATGAATTAACTCTGAGTGCAATATTTACCTTGTGTATTAAGAGGAAGTGTGGGGAAATGTATTTCTAACCTGGGTTTTCAAGATGGACTCTCTTCACTCTGCTTCAGCCTACAAGCTGCGCTGTTGGCACTTCCCCTAAGTGGGAATGTGTAGAGGCTATTCAAAAAGTCTTTTCCTTCATTGCAATCTCATAATGGGCTACCCTTGCTATTGTAAGAAGACTCTTCAATTTGTGCTACTTTGTAAACCAGTGCTGTTGTTCTCTACATATAAAGACAGCATTTTAGTCCTAGAAATCAGTTTACACTCTATACTTTCAATCCCAAACTTTGAAAGCAAAAAGCCTATAATCAGCTCCCCCCTCCTGAAACTAAGCCACTTCCCCATTGCATTTAATGGTCACTGGATGGAGAACAGTACAATGAGGAAGTTTGCTCCATTGGGAGCTAGAGTTCACACTGGAACCAAGGACCTTCTTCCCTTCCAGGCTGGCAGCTATTTCACTGAGCTACATACCCTCTAACTTGCTCTATTCCTTCTAGCCCTACGTATTTCCTTGTTTTGACTGCCCAGAGGCCCAGCTTCAAAGATATGCAGGAGAGAGGACTGGATAGTGCCTAACCCTGTGGTTATATGCTGAATATTTTATTTGAACTTTTCTTATTTCACAATTTGAGTAATTTAATGTTCCATTTGCTGGTAACCGTACTAGCCTCGTGGTTAAAACATTGTGTTGGGAAGTCATTAAGATAGATTCAAATCCCCTTCTGGGTTGAGGAGGTGGAGGTTGGAACCCTAGAGCCTAGACCTCCGACTTCCTGGACAAATGACCTAGCCAACTCAGCCAATGGGACTGAGATATGGGAGGGTCCTTACCTCCTCCTAGTTCCAGATTTCTATTTGGCTACATTTTCCTAACTTGCACATCCAGAATGGTTGTACATGCATAGCCATATCCATGCCCAGCCACTGCATTGCTGACTGAACATGCTCTGTCTGCATGCATACTCTTGTATCCACAGTACAGGGGTAATCATCACAACTAGTGTGTAAGTGCCAAAAACACCACCCATGCTGATAGCAAACGACCACTTAGACACTCAGAGGGAAATAGAATTCTACCCCTGATGATTATATCAAACCGGGTCTGTTTATAACACAATGAGTTAGGCACCAAATACAACCTTCTTTCTTATAAAGAACATTTTTAAAGTAATTTTACTTTAGTCCAACAGGATCCAAAGAAGACATCCATGTTGGTGTGAAGAAATCTAGAAAAATGACTGCTATGTCTTGTGCCTGATTCAAGACCAATTAAATTTCAACAGAAATCTTTTCCTTGACTTCAGTGGGCTTTTCTTCAGGTTCTTTGTGCAAGGGTCAGAGCTTCCTCTTTATCCTGTTTTGATCATGCTACCAAATGCAGAGACTTTAAACCACCTCCCCAAAACCCTACCACCACCACACGCCATTACCTTTTCCCTTTGAATTATCTTTTTCCTGGCACAACAATACTTACGACTACAGGAAAGGGAGAATTTGCATGTGCTGAAGATGAGCCCCCATCCCCAAAAGATGAATATAGCATATTAGACATCTCAGTCTGGACTTTTGGGGCCTCAATTTGTGGTACAACATTTCACATAATTTATGTTGCTAGCTTACTCTATAAGACAGGTGCAAATACAACTACCTGTAGGTGCAAAATTATGCCTGAAAAATAAAAGTCTGATTTAAAATTTCAGTTTCATTGTGCATTTTGACTACTGTTATATGGAGTTGCATGCAAAAATCTTACTTAATGTGTTATAATAGTTATTGTGCAGATAGTTTAGTACAACATATTTATTTTGCCAACTACAAAATGGGCACTTTTTCAGTGGACGTATTGTTTGCATAGTCATTTGAGAATAAGGCTCATGACACAAAATGTTATTTTTGGAGCAGCCAAGCCAAGAAGTATGTAGTTTTAGAAACAAAAAGTAGAAATTCTCCATTTTCTTCCCAGACTTCATTTCAGTGCCTTTGCTCTGATATGAGTGTAGACTAGCTTTTATGTTAAAAAAAATACTGTAAAAAGAAAGCATAAGCCCACAAAAGTTGTTTTTTTTTGCTTAATGTACCTTTCAAAGAACCAACTTGTGACTCAGTAGCTTAAGTAGTCTAGCTCTGCATCCAGCTGAAGACAGCGGCATGCCCAGGAAGGACCTGTGCCCCCAGTCGCTGAGGGCATGGCAGCAGCAGGAGAGTGGCAGAGCTCCTGCAGACACCGCCGACGCTGTTGGTGGCAGGGTGGGGAGAGGCCTTGGCGAGTGCCGACAAAGGGTTGGCGACCACCCGCCTTTTTGCAGGAGGTTCATCACCACACTCATGGGGTGCATGTGCACCCGAATGCACCCCCTATGCATCGCCGCTGGGCATGCCTAATACCAAGAGTTAATACCGAAATTTCAGGTTCTTGTAATAAGTGAAGATGAGGACGCATCTTATTCCTAGATAATTTGTTGAAAATGCTATGCAACCATATCTATAAAATGAAATCCTCAACATCCAAGAAGGGAATCAAGTTGATAAAACATTAAGGGATTTGCCTTTGCTTTAGTAGTTAAAAATAATTTATTTTTTATCAATCTCTTAAATGCACATAGCTAAAGAAAATCCTGTTTTCATTGTTAATTTTATGACTTGATATCATTATTATGCATTCATAATAAAAGTGGTTTACCAGCATGTTATAGGAATAAAAGTCCCCCAGCTTATTATTCTTCTTAAACCAGTCTTTGCAAATTTGAGGACAGACATTCCACTTCAAACTCTCTGATCTCAAGATGCAAGAAAGATTTGGCTGGATTTTTGTTTTTTTTAATTAGGCCTAAGCTCCCAATTAAACCTTATTGCCATAGGATGGTTATTTGGATGTACAAAATGTACCACCATTTAAGAAGGCATAGGAAAAAACAAACCAGAGTTAAGGATTACCTACTAGTATAGAATGGGAGAGACAGCAAGCAGCTGTCAGGTACAAAATGACTGCTTTAAAACTGAGGTTCTGTCTCTGCCAAACTTAAAGATTCAAACCCCAAAAGGCATGCTGGGAGAAAATTTCGTATGTCGTAGAAGGTTCACTAGAGATCTCTACTAGAGTTCAGATTAGGAAAAGTGCTGCTTCTGTTTTGATTAGTTCTGGGTTTTAGAAGGGAAATATTCTGTCACATTCATGTTTTTCTGGTTAGCTGCTTCCCAGCTAGAAAGAGAAACTAAGTCATCACTGCAGATACTTCCTCTGTAACAAGGACAAGGCATAGCAGGAGGTTACTATGTGGGATGTTTGCACTATCATTTGCCAAGTTGCATCTGGAATGCTGAATAAGCATATCTTCATTCCACTGCTATCAATTAGGAACCACTGCCCTCACCACCCGTATTTAAGAGGCCTGTTAAAGCAGGTTGTACTAGTGTTAACCATTAAAAAAAACTGCACAAATAAATTCACACAACAGTCTTTTTCATTGAAAGTCACTTTACTGATGTTACAATGTTAGTAACATTGAAAACCACAGGCATTTGTATTAAATACTCTCATAGAAGTGGATACTATGATGTTAATAAAAATGTGCATGAATTTAGAACCCCAAATTACAATGGCTGTATTTTATAAAAAAGCAATATTTTGTTTAGCTACAGGAAAGCTAGATTCATTCACTTGAACAGCCTAATGCCTGTAATATTTATGACAAAAATATCACACTCAAAACTGAGGTGTTAAAATGTGCAGCGTTTCATTTTGGTGTTTGTCAAAATCTCATGACTACAACCTAGTGGAAGATTAGAAGGGTCTCAGGCAGCAAAGACGACGTAATGTCACATGATGACTTAGGCCAACAGTAGCCACACCCTAACGGTGAAACAAAATAGTCCTTGTCACTGTGAATGTTTTACTAGCAGGGGCGGCATCAGCAATTAAAAGACAGAGCTCCTTTTATATGGCAACTTACAAGATAAACACAAGCGCAAAACAAAGCTGGCAGAGCCAATTCATATGCACCACACCCAAAACGTTTCTGAGAACAGGTCAAGATGGAAATAAGATTTTCTCCATCAGATTAAAAATTCTGTAATAATTTGCTATTTTGAAAACAAGAACGTTTGCATTTGTGCAATAGTTAAAAAAGGAAAGTACTAAAATCTATATAAAACACTAAGTATTAAGATAATCTTATAAGAAAAACAGATTATATATTGACAGTTTGAATATGCACCAGACTCTATTCCCTAACATAAAATACATACGTTGTCTACACAGACAATGAGCAGGAATCCATGTACTAGTACAACGTGATATATTAGCACTAACTGTATTACAGCCTTACTTATTATATGGTTATCTGCTAGCACCTCTGTACTTAAAGGTCGATCAGGCCTATTTACAAGGATTTGTAACTTGGTTGTAAAAAATAGACTCTGCATGCTAAAGCTGGAATAGATAAGGTCTTAAGGCCTCGTGTTAGGTTTGATTCTTATTTAAAAACTCTGTTCATTTTTAAGTCAGAGGAATGTAGAAACAAACAAAAGGAAATTAGTTTGCTGTTCTGATTTTTATGCTCCTGTAACTCAAACCAACATTAAAAATGTTAACAACTGGATTTATATAAGACTCCTGAGTTGCCAGTACTCCCTTTCCAAGGGCCAGGCCTGTCAACTACCTCTCTTTTTTATTGCCCCTATTCTTCCTCTTCCTTTTCTAACTCCTGGCAGTCAGGACCTGTTTACATTGCTGAAATGTAATATCTGGTTTTAAACCTGGTTGGAACTGTTGTCTATACCTTCTTTTGGGATTGGGGATGGTTTAAAGAAGCCAAATTGTTTTAGCTGAACTGCTTTTAAAAATAGATACAAAGTTTCCCCAAGGTACAACATTGCTATGTCCTGAAATGTCAATACTTGTTTCTGCTGCCTTTTTCAGACAGCAAAATTGTGACTTCTGTGGGCCTTTTCCAAGCAGTTGTCAAGCTCCTGTGGAACTGCAACTGGGTCTGAGAGCTATTTGCCCATGGTTAAGTCCCAGTTACACAGGCTGATACCCATTTGCGACGCATAGGAGGTGCACATGGGTGCACGTGCACCCCCTGAGATTGGCCATACACCCCCTGGAAACGCCAGCCGCGAAACTGGAAGTGCTGGTGTAAGTGCACTTCCGGTTTCACTGCTGGTGATTTTGGGCTTGGCGATCAGCCACTAAGGGACCCCCACTCCCCCAGTCAGTGATCTGGTGCCCCCAGACTCAGGAGGCACCAGTTGCCCATGCTGATACCAGCAGGCAAAGCTACCAGAAATGTCACCAGTTATCAAAAGTGTTTGACTAACCTGCTTTTAAAAACTGCCAGGAATGGAGAGTCCACAACCTCACTAGGTAACCTGTTCCATTCCTTAAACACCCTCATAATTAGAAATTTCTTCCTAATATCCAACCAAAACTTTGTCACAATTTAAGACAGCTACTTGTTGCCCTGCCACCTATGGCCACAGAGAATAGACTGCCCTCCTCATAATCATATTTGTGTCTCACTTCTGTATTCTTTCCAATTTTTTCTACATCTTTCTTAAAATGCAGTGCCCCAAACTGTTCAAAAGATCTTAGCTGAAAGGCTGAGAATTGGCTTTTTGAGTTCTAATTGAGGTCTAACCAACATTGAGTAGAGTAGTGCTGTCACCTCCCATGCCCTATATACAGTACTTCTGTTAATGCATCCCAAACTTACATTAGCTAATTTTTGGAACTATACCATATTGCTGACTTACGTTGAGTCTGTGATCCACCGTGACCCCCACATCTTTCTTGGCAGTACTAATGACTACCAAATTATCTCCCATTCTCTACTTGTGCATTTGCTTTTTCTTCCCTTAGGGTGGCACCTCATATTTGCCTTTACTGGGTTTCATTTTGCCATCTAGAGCTAAGGTCTTCAGTTTATCAAGATCCTTGTGAATTCTGCTCTAATCCTCCAAATCGTTTGCAACTCCTCACAGTTTTGTTTTGTCTGCACACTTGATCAGGAAGCTCTCCATTCCTGCATCGATAAAAAAAACAACAAAAAAACCCATAATAAAAATGTCAACAACGAACTCAGGACACACCTGGCACCCCACCTGAAACTTCCTGCTATCTGAACACTGTTCTGTTTATAGTTATACTTTGTGGCTACTCACCCAATTATTTATCCACCTAACAGTAATTCTATGTAGCCCATGTTTCTCCAGTTTATGAGACTCTCATGTGGGCCTACATCAAAAGACTCTCTAATTGTATTATATCCACTGCATAGCCTTCATCCATCAAACTAGTTAGCTATTAGGTTGGTTTGGCATAATTTATTCTTAATAAGTCCATGTTAGCTGCTATTGGGCATGTCTACATTTTTATTCGTACCTGTATATCTGTTGTGCCAGTTACATTTTTAATTGTAACCACAGTCTACTAAAGGTAAAGACAGGTAATAATGTGCCGTAATCAGTGCTACTGCACATTAGCACAGATGAACATTTTTTTTGGTGACACTACTGTGCATTAGACTAAATCTACTGTGCATTAGCATGGGCTCTGCCTGCCACACTAATGTACAGTAGAATTAGTCTTCTGTGCATTAAGTGTCCTATGTAGACGCACCCAATGATCAAGACAGTCTATAAATCTGCTGGTCCTCCTTTTCCCTTTTTAGATGGCCTCTAGTTTAGCCCTCCTCAGGTCTTCTGGGACATGGCCTGTCATCTATGATTTAGCTAATGGCTCTGAGATTTTTTTCAGTGCTCAGGGTGAATTTTATCAAAGATTATAGTCCTATAGTACAAGTGCGTAAGGAACTGGCTAATGGGAAACCAACAACTAGTCGTGCAGAGAAAAAACTTACCTGACTGGAGGGAGATTCCTACTGAAGTTCTTCAAGGATTAGTATCAAGAGCAAACATAGTCTTTTTAGCATTGCCAGTACTCGGGAGGATTAGAATACTGCACAGGAAGAACAGAATGACTTTAAAGACTGAAGTCATAGAAATGGGACTGTGAGCTACCAATGTGACATGGCTATGAAGGAAGGTAAATGCTATCCTAGATTGCACCAGGCAAGGTACTTTCTGTAGCAAAGGGGAAGTCCTAATGCTACTGTACAAGGCACTACACCTCTTCTGGCATTCTGCGTACAATTCTGGTCATCCATGTTCAAACAATAAATGTTACTAGGCTCTGCAGTTGCCCAGTCGTCACCCCATTTACTAGAGGACACTAAAAAAACAAACTTGGTTTGTTTGACCTAGTTAGACAAAGATTGAGAGTAGATATGTTTGCTGTTATGAATACAAGACAGGGCAAGTCCCCAGATAGCTTTTCTTTATCCTGCCAGCACAGGGACAAACAAGTATAAACTGTCTCTGAATAAAATTAGGCTGAAAACTAGGAAAAAGTTTCTAATCAGAGGAGTTAGTACTGCATTTCTGGACAGTCTTCTATAAGAGTAATGAGAGCTAACAACCCCAGCCAGTTCTAAGTTGGGGACTGCAGGTTCAAACCCGGTGGGGGAACACAATCATTCCTGCCTCAGGCAAGGGGTTGGACTAGATGACCTCTTGAGGTCTGTTCCAGCCCTACTCCTCTATGATTTCTATGATTGCATGATGTGGTTCTTACATTTGCAGGGAACTGGACTTAATGATGTGAAAGGTTCTTTCCAATCTTGTATGTAATTTTCTTATGGTTGGAATGAGCCAAAACTATTATATGGACATGGCTGGGAAATCCTGTAATTGTTACAACTTACATGCAGAAGACAGCAATAAGACACACCAGGCACAGCCCACTGATTGGACAAGGGAACAATACCATGTGCTGTCAGAAACATTAATAGCACATTAGCCATATTTTGGGTCTCTAAAAACAATGTTCAACAACAAGGAGAATACAAATTTGATTAGAAGTTGTAGGAAAAATAGTTATTCCTCGCTCCAGTTTTGAAAACAGTTGTCAGTCTTGTGTGGCTAGTCTTCGCTGAGTTAATCTACCAGCAAAGGAGATTCAAAGGGAACTGGACTGGATATCTGTTGTCACACTTACATTTTTAATTGTAACCACAGTCTACTAAATGCTCACCCAACACAATAAAATTTGTTATACGCATAGAACCTGATAATTCATCATCTGGCTGGTTCAAAGTCACCAAGGACAAAACTGTTAAATCATTCAGAAGATTATGTACTCAGATATGTGTTCACATCTGATAAGTAATGACTTTAGGTCATGTACACACCATAGTTATACACGGGAATACTGTAAAATTAAAACATCAAAGCCTTTTTTTTAAACCAGACCTGCTTATTTGTTTGAACACAACATATTTAGATGTACAAATTTAGATGTACATCACAGGCACTTCTGATGAACTGTACAAAGTTGTTCACCAAAAATCTGGAGTACAGATTACTCAGGGCATTATCTCTGTGTGGATGATTTGATTCCAAACAAATCAGAATCAGCAAGTAAGCTTCAGTGACAAGAGTTGTGGCACTCATTACAAAAGCGAGCAAGAGTGGCACAGTGACAAATCACAGTTTGGATGCAGTTCCTCTTTTCCCAGCCTCAACATTTTAGCCATATTACTTTTATTTTAAATACATGGGGCAAATCTACATGTCGCCTTTCAGAAGTACTAAAGCACTGTGCAGTACGGGTGGTTACTGTGCCATGCGCATGGCACATGGTAAGATTTTGCTGCTATGTCACTGTAGCGGTGAACTACATCGGGGGAGCGCACCACTATGACGACATAGCTGGTGATCAGATGTAGACCTGTGTGATTGCTACGTTACTGTAGTGCACTGTACAACAACATAGCTTGTTGCTACATCACCATGGGGCAATGTGTAGATGAGCCCATGATGTTCTTAGGCCACATTATGAAAACCAGATACCTGGTTCGACAGTAGCTTGTTTTACCAGTGAACAAAAGCCCTATAAGAAATTCATGTGAATGAAGTGGTGACCTCTCAGCACTCTTGGTCAATGGGTATCTACACTGCAACTGGCATGGACTGGTACCTTTATAGCAGGTCTTAGGAAAAAAGCCAATGAGCCAAATGTACTAGGTTTACTGAATGTTATGGATATTCCAGTTTTGGACTTCTGAGCTGGACAAGGCACTGCAACTGACACCACTCCTGCCTGTGATGTAACCACTGTGGTTACAAAAAGCGTGGCAATCTCCAAGACTATCTAGCTGGCACCTTTTATAAGTATTAAACTTAAAACAAAGCAAGCTATGAAACACTCCTCTTCTGGTTTAATCTAATCAATCACCTTTGTTTTTAGAGGGCCATACAGCCCTACATATTCCAGCTTTTTTGTATAATGGCTTCATTTATTTTCTAGATCGCTGTCATGGTGTATCATATTCCTCCAGAGTAGATTTCACAAAAAACAAAGCTGATATTGAATGCTAGGTGTTTTCACTTTCTAGCCCACCAAAGTGAAAGCCACTTTTTATTTAATTTAAAGTTAGTGCTTACAATTAGATTACCTGTCTGCATATTTTTCAAAATTCAGAAATGACTGAAATTACACTACACGGAGCAAGTGCTATGAATGAATGACATCAGAACAAGAAAGGCTGCAAGTACAAAATACATAAAAAGCGTAGTCATGAGAACAATTCATTTTCAAAACAAGAAACTATGAATGTTACAGAAACCACCACTGTCACATTCAGTTTCATCTATCAAATCTTGCTGCTTCTTGATCATGGGAAAATGGAAAAGAAAGTAAGAAAGATAACGTAGAAAATATACACAAAATCTAACATGGTTATTTAAAATTACATGCAAACTTGTTTTCCAAACAAATATCAGAAAAGGCACATGATAAACATTTAAGTTACGAAGGACGTAATACTAGCAGGAAGGAAAAAGCCATCTTTCAGACATGGGGTCTGTCATTTTAACATGTAAATGTCATTATTTGGGTGAAATGCTTAAAGCCTGATTCAAAGCCCACTGAAATCAACAGGAAGACACCCAAAGACTTGAAGGGGCTGTGGATCAGTTCCACAAGTGATGAAAATGTCTGCAATACTGCCATTCTTGTCCTACATGCAAAATAAACCTTTGCAAAATTAATGCAGGCAACTATTTAAGTCTGCATCAAACAGCAAAATCTCTGCCCAAAACCACTGCAGTTGCATTCACTTTTTCAAATACCCTACAACCATATTCTGCTCTCATTTGTATTTGTCATCATTTCAAAATACTTACCAAAATAATGACCTGCTAGGCCAGTTTTGTGTAGATTTAACCCAGTACACTGTCTTATGCATAAAATATAGTATTTCTATTATCTTACATACTTTACAGATGCTGACATCTTTAAAAAATGCTTAATTTAACCTTCACCTAGATTTGACTTCCTTTAATCAAAGAGAGAAATTGGTTAACAATAAAATAAATTCAGGTACATTAAAAAGTCTCTACTGGTAGGGTCACTTACTAAAGAAAAAATGGGAAAGAGGTAGAAGATTCGGAAACTCATGGGGGGTTTTTTCTGTTGGCTATGCGTTTTAATATACCATACTGAAAAATATATATTATTCTGCAATGGAGTTACTAGAGCTAATGAATTGGTTACTGTCGGAGAAGTACTGACAGGAGGGGTTGTTTTCTTTTTAACCGGCTTAAAATGGCCATGTTTATTATTACAAGAAAAATTACAATCAAAAGACCTTGGATGTTTTACAACATCCTTTAGGTCTCTCAGGGAATTGTAAATGTATGTCTGACACATCCTCCAGTGCTTAGCATACAAATGACTGGCAGTCTGGATAATGCCATCTTGCTGAGGAATTTTACATGCAGGATAGTGTCTCCTTTGTAATGGATTTGTCTTTGTATCCACAGTTTGATGGGGCTGGATCCACTTGCATTCAGCTCAAGGCCCAAATTAATTGCAAAGGAGACATAAGGGACTCTACACATAAGGTACTAATACACATACAAGTGATACCAATAAATGTAATTGGCCAGTTGCCAAGCTTTCAGTTACTGTGCAGCACAAGATCACAAGCTGTAGTTTGCTGTGTGATTCCAACACATATTTTGAAGTGCTTTATTACATATACACAATAAATCTGCCAGATGACCACCAATACTTTAGCAACCACTTTGAAGTTTTCCTAAGTATCTAATAAAGTTCCCATCATTCTTAATTAAAGATTCTGGCTCGGTTTTCATAGATTTACACCACTGTTAATGAGAAGAAACAAACTCATCATTTCTACCAGGCAATTTGTGTGTGCTGGTTCCTTAGATGGTGATTTAAGACAAAATGTCACTGTATTATATTACTTTTTGATTCTAATAAATAATATATCCCAGACATAACTTCCTATAACAGAAAGGGAAACTGTAGATTTTGCTCAAACACCAGTTTCTGAGAAGACACATTTTCAGTACTGTATTTCCAAAGCTGTCTGCTCATAATATTGAGAACATTTGAAGTGTGATGAAGTTACTCATGACTGTTTCTTTAGGCATTTGGCAAAATACACTTTTGTATAACATCTGTTTTGACACTTTAAAATGTTTACATATATACAATCCATATACTGAGATTATAAACCCGAAAAGTAAAAAAGATGCAATTCCTGTTTGTTTGAAGTTTATGTTAGATATTTGCCCCTCAAAGCTTAAGATCCCGTAGCAAAATCCTATATTTCTTACTCCTGCATGCTAATTTCTATTATAGTATGTTGTTTATCCCTTACATGTGGAAAGGAAAGAACAGAGGGTTCATGCACACAGCATAAATGGTAACATTGGCCACGTGTTTCAGAATGCTAAATTCTGAATTCAATTTTGCTATTATTTGGGACTGCATTAAACCAATGAAAAAACCTCTTTTATTTGGGACTTGTAAATTAGTTTTAATTGTAAATCTATATGTATCTGTCATGCGGAATAGCCTTGTCACATCCAGTCTATTTATCCGAGGTTAGTTTTTTTATGTTTTCAGCTGTTCTTTACAGACTTCATGAAATTCTGTTCAACAGCAAATGACTGGCTTTATTAACCCTGGTATACCAGAGGAGGTTCTGTCTGTGATCACTGGCATCTCTGTTGTTCTTTCAAGTTGTCTGAAGAGCAGATGAATGTGCAATGACTCAGTGATGCTGAGTTTATATAAAAGTGGAAGTAAACAGTTCTGATGTTACCCCAGGTAAACAGTGGGACTAAATAGAAGTCTCCCATAGCTAGAAGAGGAAAAAAAGAACACAAATATACATTACTGAAGTTATAATAGAATATCTGAACAATTTTAGATCATAGTTTGGAAATCGCATCTCTTTTGCTTAGATTACGCAAGGTGTGCTATTTGGTCTTATCCTAGCCTCCAGTAGATAATCGGCTCATATCACAACATCATCAGATCATCTGGAAGACTTCAGCAGAACTGCAGTCTGCGCAATAAAGGACTAGGATTGGGAGAGTTAGAGTTTAATGGAAGAGTCTACTTAAACATCAAAAGCTTATGCCAAAACAGTTTACTCACTATTCATACAGGTCACCATAAAGTCATAAAATCATCATAAAGTCACCATAACTGATTCTAGAAAAAAAAAATCAAATCTCTCTACATTTTTTTTACCTAACTCTGCTCAGAGCTTCTTCAGTTTACAACAGGGCACTGGGCTAAGGCAACCCTAGGCTTGGGAAACATAAGTGTCACATCACCTCTACCCAGGACCTCTTAAACATATATTGACAACATTTTATAGAAGCAGGACTTTAGATTGCCATGGTTCCCCTGCTTTACCTGTAGCATGTTAGGAAGTTAGATCTATGTTGTGTCAGGGTTGAGAGTAGTCTTATGTAGAGTTTAGATTACGGTTGTACAGGATGGTTTGGATAGGGAGGAGGTTAGGCAGGGGGTCAGACTAGATGGCCTCTGGAGCTCCCTTCAGGCCCTACTTCTCTTATGACCCTTCTGCAGCCCTCTCCCTATCAAGTACTCTGACCACAACTCTGACGGAGAACTTCTGTGCTACAGCTCCAAGAACCACAGCACAGAATTTAGGGTGAGATTACACGTTAGAGGTAGCAGGAGTTAACTGTAAGAAATATGAGGTGGTGCTAGGAAGTAGTGATCAGTGGGCATGTCTACAGAAGACATTAACTGCTCAGTAGCCTAATAACACTGTGCAGTAGTAGTGTTCCAGGCAAAAACCATACTAATATGCTACTGTGCAGTAGTATAAGGCTACTGCGCAGTAAGTGTCACTAAAAACCCATGCGCCAGCACTACTGCCCAGTAGTGCGAGTTACTGTGCATTGATTTAGTACTTGGTTAACCAAGTACTAAATTTAATGCGCAATAACTATGGCACATTAATGAACATGTTAGCAGGCCCTCTCTAATGTGTACTGCTCAGACCTGCTGTTAGACTACTGAGCAGGAACATGGTTAGGGGCTGCAAGTCTCCTCCGTGCCTGCCCAGGGAGGGGAAGGTGTTTCCCCACACCACTTGGATCACCCTCTGATCATCCTCTCTGCCCCCCCAAAATTGCCCCTTCCCCCATCAGCCTCTGGATCATCCCCTGTACCTTGAATTACTGCCCTGTCACCCTGATCAACCCAAGAGTGGTGGCACCAACTGCAGTGGCAGAGGCAGCCAAGTGGGGTTCCCCCACCCTGCCTGCTTCTCAGGCTATCTGCAGCAAGCACCACCTCCATGCATCTGGATCCAGACTTGTAAATTAGTTTTAGATCATTTAACTCAGGCTACCTAGAAGCTCACCAGGGGAAAAAATGGGGCAGAGAGCTGCCTGGCAGCTGCAGGTGTTCCTGGCAGCTCCCCATGGGCCCAGACTGGTCCCACACTGCTCCTGCCTACCCTACAGCTATGGGGGACAGGGGAGATGATCAGGGGCAATTCAAGGGGGTGAAGGATTGTAATCGACCAGCACAAGTTACAGAATCACTAAGGAGCTGCTCTATTGTAAGAATTCTAGGTGCTTCCAGCATTACAGAGAAGGGAGAAAGCCTCCCATTATTATTCTCAGGTAGGCTGAGCTCCCCAGACTCCCCAAGCAGTCTGGTCTGTCCTGGCCTCCATCTTTACCAATGACATCCAAGAAATTAGGCCTTTCTCCATCAGAGTTCACCTCTGGGACCTGTGTCAGTTCTTTTCTTGTTTGTCTGAACAAACCACTTATGTCTTGCTTAGCTTTGGGCAATCAGGCCCTGTATTATCCTTTTGAAAACTGATAAAATCAAATCACTTATCTGACTAAGCATACAAAAAGAGGGCCACGTACCCTGGCACTTTGCCTGTTAGCTTTTTTCTCCTCATCTGGAAGCGGAGGCATCGGGTATGGGTATTTTCTGCTGGAGGCAATAGATCCAGTGGATGAAGATGGAGACTTTGCAGGAGACAGAGTCCTGAGATGTTGAAACACACAACATAAATGCAATGTTTCTGGGCACCAGCTTCAATAGCAGCTGTAATTACTCTTTAGCTTGATTCAGACCAAATAGCTGCATACTTGATTATGGTCTCATTAGGGAACAAATCCATTCAATATGTATCTATTTACTCAAATCTTTACAATTCCCATTAAACTGGAAGGAAAACTTAACATTCCTTCTTAACTTGATTATAACTTCTTATAAAAATAATCCGCATTAAAAGGATTATATTATCATTATAAAGTTAACAAACCAAATTATTTATGGAATAAGCAGAGAATATAATACTGAAATGACATTATAACCTCGAAATATAAACAATATTAATATTAAAGCTCAATAACATCTTCTACTCATGGGTGAATGCACGGCATAAACAGTGAATTCTTTTTACAGGTTTTATACAGTAAGATGCTAAAATATCGGTGCATCAGATAAATCTCTTACTCTTTACAGATAACATATTAATTTACACAAAGTGCATGCAATTAGAGGCCAAACTGTTAGTTGTGAAGAAACAAAGGCATATACAAAGTGCTAACAACAAATTATTAGACATGCAAGCATCATACAGTGCATATTGTTCCAGCCAAAGAAAGAGTCTGATGAGAATATACAAAAATGGACTGATTAATCAACAGCAATCAGCATTTCTGTACAAAGTGAGTAGAGTAAGCAGTAGCAAGTAAATGTTTGTATCACATGAAAGGCATTCTCTGCATGTCAATAAGGCTATGGCTGTGTTGACTAGAATTTTACACCTAGAAAAACCTCTTACATTTCTGTTTACTTTTACCAAATCAGAGAACCCTACTGGGCTCCATACCTGGACCCAGGCAGAGGCAGTCTGGAAACAGAAAAGCTAAATTATCATGCCTCCTTTGTTTCATTTTACAGACAAAAGGGCAGATTTTGAAACGGGTCTCAGGCTGGTTCCCGTCTGTGCATGCACACATCCCCATGTACATTTTAAGCACTCTTACCTACTTGCTCCAGTTCTCAACTTTGCCTAAGGAAAACATCTTTACTGAATTTATGTGTGCAAGTTCTCTAACGGTGCACACACAGTTTGACAATGTGGCCCACGGTGATGACATCCATTAATATCACTGAAGATGAAGTCAAACGGGGACTACTCATGGTACAAAGCACTATACCCTGCAGTCACTTTGTAGGGTTGAGTTTTTTTATAGACTAGAGATCACCACAGCCAAATGTCTCTTGTTTACTCTGGAATGGTCTCATGGCATCTCAGCCATCCATTTTGTTTACAACTCATTTACATTTAAACAGGTTTTTTTAATAATTGTTTTTGTTTCTGGCTAGGCATCATCATTATTGTATCTGCAGTTCCCTATAGCAGCACACTCCTATCTCCCATACAGTGATTGATAGTAGTCATGAACAACAAGGTGTCAATGGAAATTATGATGATAACTGTCAAATTAAATTAACTTGTGTCACCAATAACCTAAGTTCCCATGGTGTAATCCAGGGGTGGCCAAACTTTCTAACCCTTCTAGCCACAAACCAAAATCTTGACAAGCTGCAGGATGTAAACCTTTTAAGATGAGAGCAGGCCAGATTCTGCACACTGTGCCCCAGCATAAATAATAACTGGTCATTAAATGACTCTCTCCAAGGGCTTCATTTAAACCACTTTGGAACCACCGTAACTCACAAGCTGTCATTTGGCCACTCCTCCTGCAGCCTCTAAGGTACATTTTATTGATGTAATAAAATGTAATTTTATTGATAGATCATGGTTGTGCCAATACAATTCCTCAAGAGGTTGATGGTTACATCTTCAGCGAGCGCATTTAGAGCACCCAGAAAGGTGAAAGAGCACAATAATCAAATGTTCTTAGCAGGGAAACTGAAAGCAGCTAATGAAATTTCAAATAATGTATTTGTGTGTGCAGCATCACAAACCTAACTGAGCACAAAACAGCACCTCCAAAATGACAGGCTATATTTAAAAAATCAGGAGAAAGGCTCACAGCAACACACTGACCAATATCCCTTTTCTCACTAATATATATATATATATATATATATATATATATATCTATATATCCTCTAATCCATGACCCATTTGTACTGATAAGAGCTCAACCAGTGTTTGTCCCCTTCATCCAAAAGAATATGGGCCAAAATTGAAAATAAAGAGAACTTATCTTTCAGTGATGATGAGACCAAGAAAAAATAATCATAGGGTTCATAGGTTACTCATACACTGTGTAGCAAAGGTAAAAAATCTTTGTTTTCTTCAAAAAAAATGAGGTAGGAGGTATGTGAAAAGAAAGAATGAGACATAAGCTGTTTGTTTTGGATTCTTAAGTCTCTATCACAGAATAAATTGCCTGTCATCTGATTATCTATGGCCAGATTTGTACTTGAGTGTGTGAACAGGGAGGGGGGAAGAGTAAAAAGAGACATCTTCCATTCTTACCGCCTGGACCAGGCACAAAGCACTCCCTCTTCTCCACAAACAGCTCTCATTAATAATGCAAGCCACCACAAGAAGCACAGAGACGAGGGCAAGCCATGGCCTGAGAGCTGTACAGAGAATGAAATGTATCTCAAGGATGGAGTGCTGTCCCGGTACAATAAGGTTTTCAGGAAAGATTCCTAGCTCACCCAGTGGCAATGCAACTCTGCGATTCTACCATGATGCAATGCCTGAATAGTACAGACTGGCTCTAAATCAGCTATAGGGGGCTAGGGGAAGTGTTCAGATGGAGTAATAGAATTCTGCTTCCAGGGATATCTGTTCAGCACCACTGGACAAAAAGGAGTTCCTCAGATGTAATCTAAAAGCAGGATCTGACCACCCAAATTATCTAACACGGTCATATCCTGTTTATGCTTCACTGCTTTTTGGTTTTCCCTGTTTGTCATTGTGGTGGGGGTTTTTTTCCTTTTAAAGAAAAAATTTTTTGGAAACTCAACATGTAGAAAAAAAGATGTCAATGCTTTGAGAATCAGGTGCTGGATTTTACCCAAGAGAAATTTATTTCATGACAAATGAGAATTAATAATCTCTGGGGGAGGTGCCTCTAAGTAAATTTATTAGCTCCTCATGCAAATGCAATGCTGCCTTTTCAAAGCAGGGTGAAACCAGGGCATCCACAGAGTGGTTTGCCTACTCATGGTACCTATAAAACCCCATACTTGTGCATACAAGCCCCTGTTTCCTCAGCCTACTGCACATACAACTACCTGATCTGCACACAAATACCAGTCTACACATGCAAATCCAGGACATTTTGGGGAGCATCAGCTGCACGCTACTCAGGTAAATTGAGCTTCACCCTTAGGTATGTTGAAAATGCAGTTACACACGTAAAGAGATGATCATCAGGGTTGTGTGAAGCTTTGGTAGCTGATTCGATTTGGAGGAGATTCAGCCCAATTTGGTGGCCAAATCTCCAAATCCGAATCGAATCAGGAGACCCATTAAAAGGTCCAAAGACTCTGAATTTATCTAAGTCTTGCCAGGTTCCAATGTGGGTTTTGACTTTACAACGCCGGACACAGCTGCCTCCAGCTGGTAAGTCTATTGTGGTGGGCGGAGGGAAGGGGCATGGGGAGGGGCAGATCAATGCCCCCACAGTGAGGAAGGGATTGGGGCTGGGACAAGCTGCCCAGCACGGGACTCAAGTAGGGGGGCTCCTGCCACTGTGTGCCACCGCGTGCTGCTGGCTCAGGAGCTGCTCTTCTGGTGGCTCCTCCAGCACTTCTCACCCCTGGTCCGGGAGGGCATAGGACCAGGTGTGTGCTCCAGGATCTGCAAGGGGTGGGCTGGGCCAGGCTGGGATCCAGGAGGCTGTTCCCAGCCACCCCCCGCCACGCTGCGCTCTGCGGGGTGGGTGGAGCCAGGGGTGCACTCCAGGGGGCAAGCCCCTGCTGCCAGACTACACTCTGCAGGGCGGGCAGAGCCAGGGCTGTGCTCCAGGAGGCTAGCCCCAGCCCCAGCCTGGAGCGCAGCCCTGGCTCTGCCCACCCCACAGAGCACAGCCTGGCAGCAGGGGCTTGCCCACCAGAGTGCAGATCGGTGGTGAGCAGCTGGGGCTTGCCTCCTGGAGCACAGCCCGGTTCGCACAGATCCAGGGGCACACCCCCACTCCCATGCCCTCCCAAGCTGGCGGTGAGAGCCACCAGAGGAGCCACCAAAAGAGCAGCTCCCAGACCAGTGGTATGCAATGGTGGGAGCTGCCCTCCCCAAGTCTCGTGTCCCGCCGACTGGGCAGCTTGTCCCAGCTCTAGCCCCAATCCCTCCCTCACTGTGGTAGCATTAATCTGCCCTGCCCCCCACCATGCCCCTTCCCTTCTCCCTCCACCCACCACAACAGACTTACCGGCTAAAGGGAGCTTTGTCCAGTGTCATCGAAGACTGCCTGTATAGTCTATGGCCAAATCTCTGAATCAGTGCCGAATCTCTGAATCCAAACAGGCCGAATCGAATCAGGACAGTGATTTGAATCACCAAGTCCCTCTGAATTGGCTGAATCAGAAGCAAGTACTGCTGCTTTGTACAGGCCTAATGATCATGCCCTCCCCGCACAATCACTGGCCACTTATTCCTATTACTACTTATGACAACACTCCATACACTCTTATAGTCTTAAGTACCACCTGGGGAGTTTGTGAAAAATGTATCGCAAATACATTATAGCACCTAGCCAGGTGCCTATGTACCACTTCAATACATAAAATGCAGTAATTTTTTTTTGAACATATGACCCTCAAGGATCTATCTTGCAATTGTTTATGTGCTGTGTATCCCAGATTTGAATGTACTTTAAATGAGAGAACTGTGTAATGCCTTTCTCATTTATAGCATAAAAGGAAACATTGTTACAGGGACACTTGTGGGTAACACAGGGTTGGAGCTGGGAAAACCTGCAGCTTTGGCTCAGTTGGTTTCATTTAGGTTTTACTAAGGGTTGTGGTTCTCATGGCTTCATGTC